GTCGTCGTCCTTCAGATGCTTGCGTAAAGACGCTTTCCGGAATTAATACACAAAATTTACCAGCTACTACGTGACATGCGGAGCCGGACGTCATTCGCAATTAGCGCCGTTAAAGAGACAAGCCAAAAGAACGGCGCCTAGAACGCCATAAAAACCAATATAAAAACATATACGTGTGTACTTTTTCTCAGAGAACTGCGATTACACTGTAATCATCAGCATTGCAATAATTATACCAGAAACGAATTATACCGGGACTCCCGGCAGTATATCTACTGTCACGATCAATCTTCTTTACAATCTCGTAAACGAACAAGATTAGTATTCGAAGAAGTGTATCTCATTTCTTTTTGTGTATTTTATGTTGTGTATTTATGTATAAAATTTCATTTTTTTAAATAAGCAAAAAATTTTATAACATATATTTATAAAATATATTAATAAAATATAAAACATCCCGTATAAAATAGTCTTATAAACTTATATAGAACTGATTTTGTTTTCTTAAAAATATAAATATGTAAAATAATTCATTACAAGCTTATTTGGAGCTAAAAAAGATTAAGATTTAATCTTAAATTAAGATTTTGAAACATATTGTGATTATACATAGAAGTACCTATATATAAATGTATGAAGAATCTATTTTGTTTGCAAAACAAAAACTGAATAAATGTATATTAATCTAACGGCATATAACGGTTGAAAATAGCTAGTTATAAAGCCGACGTCTAACAACTGTGAGAATCCAGGAAGAGAGCACGGTACTACAAAACGATATATCAAGAAGAGCGCTAATAATAATAAAGAATGCATTTTACATTCTAATTTTAACGAGCTGAATTATACTTTTGGCTGACAGTGGCGAAAATAGATACACACAGTTTATAATTTCCTAAAGAAGTAAATTGATAATTAAAAATATTACTTTTATAAATGAAAAAATATTTATGATTTGTATTCTCAAGAAACTTCGCGTCATTAATCGAGAAGCAAAATTTCAGGCTTTTCGTGCAAAAGAATACAAAATTTGTTTTTTTCCATCTTATATGTTTCCTGTATTTACAAAGCATTAGAAATAATGTGAAATTTATCAAAATTATAATGTAATAGAAGTGAATAAATGAGATAAGGTCATCGTTCTCGATTTGGATAAGATATAATACACAGTCAAAATTAATTCACGATTTAAATCGCATATTAATTATTCACGAACATAAAAAAATCACCATATCGACGAAAAAAATCAGTGTATGAATAACGGGTCTTCCAGTTTGGTGTACTCGATAAAGATAGAGGAAAACTACTGACATTATCGTGATCAGAGTCGAATATTAAGCAAATCACGTAAATAGAAAATATCACAGTATATTATTTTATCGTAAATTTCGAACAATGTAAGAGTCATAAATATGCGAAAGATGCAGTTTAAATAGCCACGACAATCATATAAATCACGTTTAAATCTCAACCATAATCTCGAGTAAATTTAGTAAGATCGAGTGAGATGGACCGAAAACAATACTGTTTAAAAAATAGTATAAAAATGATAATTATATTAAATAGAAATTATATGAAATAAAAAAATCTTAATAAACCATCTTCGGGAACTTGAAAAAATTTTAATGAAAAAATATTAAACATGATTGATACATTGAATAAATATTCAATATAATTATATAATAATTATTTTCAATAGGTAATAATAAATATTTAAATATATATTTTTTCGGTTTATCAATTTCTTTCGATTAAAAGATCTTTCTGTAATAAAAGGTCAATTGTAGCTTAGTTTAGTTTATAATTGTAGCTCAGTGCATAATTGTTGCATAGCAGCTATACAAAAAGAACGATTTTGAGATGATATCTAAAAATTTAGCTAAACACAGATCTAAAAATAATTTTGTTTGGATTAAAATAATTATGTAGGACGCTAAAACTAATTGCTAAAATGTTAAAACTTTTTAAAGCATAGTCATTAACAGTTAAGCATTCTGAATTATCAAAATAATTATGCAGAACACTTACATAGAATACTTATGTAGAACATGTTGATGACAATACAAAAAATTATAACAATTTAGCAATCAATTTGAATG